GAGTTAATTTGTTTCAACGAAACAAATGGGAGGGTACATGAAGCCAGGCGAAAACCAAGGAAGTGGGAAAAATTTTTGAATCACTGATGAGGAGGGAAGGACAGACATACGCGAAGGAAACGAAATATTTCACTTTACCGTGTAAATACCGGACTGTGAACTATGCACAGTTACTTCTCCAGAAATATGTCCTAGAAGTCCCCGTAGAAGTGGACCCCGATATGTGGAATTCTGTGCGAAAGAGAAAATATCAGGAACCCCCTCTGCCCCTGCTTGGGGTTCTGTTTCAAAAATTATCAGATCATACAGTATCTAAATGGGGCACGCGGTGGCGTAGTTAGTGGAGACACTATTCTACAAGCAGGAAAGTCGCGGGTTCGAGTCCGGATGAGTTCATTAGATTTTCTCAATTTCCCTAATCCCTCCAGTTGCGCTATAGACCTGGGTTCGACTTAGCCTCCAACAGAAAGGAGTACCAGGAATCTTCCCTGGGGGAAAGGGCGGCCGGCGCGTAAAGCTGGCAACCTTATCGCCATCTTTAAGCTGACTATAGAAAATGTGGGAGCCTCGACGTCTCACAACCCTGTGGGCCTCCACGGTCTGTTACAGGGATAGCTTTACCTTACCTTTTACAGCAATTAAATACTCCCTGTAGAAATATTATGTTTCTGAACATTATCCACTGTTCTGTCTTTATCTAAAAACACCACCCTGTTTATATTACAAAACACAACGTTTCGGAGACTGGATTCTGTCTCCCTCTCCAGAGATAGGGGCCAGCTCCATCTATTGTCCCCAACTGAGTAGGTTGTACCTGAAGACGGAGACGGAATCCAGTCTCCGAAACGTCGTGTTTTGTAATATAAACAGGGCGGTGTATTTAGATAAAGATAGGAAGATGGATAATGTCCAGAAACATGTAAACAAGGTAAAGCTGTCTCTGTGCTTAACTAATTAAACACTGCACCATGAAGTTTTATGGTGGAGTGGATGTATAGACCCACATTTTCTTGACCTCAGCACTAGCTGGAGGTAGGTCAGCTTCACTCCCAGTCCGCTTTACTCCCGGGGAAAAGACCCCCGGTACTCATTGTATAGGAGGTTGGGTGAACCCCTGAGCCGATCTGGACGCTGTGTGGAAAGTTCTTGACCCTACCGGGACTCGAAATCCGACCCTTCGGTCGTCCAGCCCATAGGTACATAGTTGCTATAGCGACTACGCTCCAGAAACATTGTTTAAATACTGTTTGCATGGGTGGAATCTGTCCGACCTGCATATGAATTGGAGGCTGTTTCTCTCGGCCGCAAAGAAATTACCACTACTCTTCCCCGGGAGTGGTTCTTGGTTTCTTGTACGAGGCTGTCGCTATCTCAGGCACCATAGCATAGAATGGTGCGATGATTGATAGGTAATGAATTGAAAAGGATTTCTAAAGAATCGGTCATGGTCTATTGTAGGTATTATCCAGATATTTGGCTGGAGTGACTGAATAAAAAAACTGATGACAGACTATGTAAATGCCAGGAATCGAATTGAATCGAATCGAACCCCCCTCCACCCAAGTAAAATTCTAGAGCGTTTGCGCAACACCATCCTGCCCGGTTCTTCACAGCACCTACTGTACATAAACAAAGTGTTTCAATTCGGCTTAATTTCGACTTACCTCGTGTTACGCGTGACTCATGACGCTCGTGACCGTGCATATGCTGAATGTCGAACAGACTGCTCGCTCTCCAAGAGTGATGGATATACTGGTATGGTAGACGGTAGGCATTTGTTTGGCTTCTGTTGTCATAGTTTTGCCTATGTATTTTCAACGTATCTCCCAGTAGCATGCTGTATTATCGACCAACGTGTAGAAAGCTTGTGGATGACTCTTTCTCGCTCGAACACTTCCCCCCCATTGTCGTTCTTTGCGTGCTTTATTCGCTATCAGGCAGCCCTGGGTTCAGTGACATTCAAGAATGTCTAAGGTTTTTCGGTTTTCAACCCTTCAGTGTAGCATAACAGGAGCGAATTGAGATCGAACCTCGACGCCTATTTCCAGTGCAGGATGGTTTGAATTTGAAATGTTTTGTAGTAAAACTAGAATTGAAAACTCAACTCCGTTGCCTGTAGTCCGCAAGTGAATTATACCGACCGAGCGACCGCCGCTGGTAGGCCAACTTTTGCGGATAGAGGGTGTCGCTTGGTCAGCGCAACGGATCCCGACACGCCCGTTAGTCTCGGTTTTCTAGACCGGAATAGCTTCCTATACACGCACCAAAATGTAATAGTACTGCAACTATAGAAGACAAAAAGCAGACATTCACTTAGAGTACCACGAACTGTGAACGCTGACCAGTCACGTTTTCGCGTGACTAAGGAACATCAAAACCCACGAAGCCCATCCACACTACCTAATAAAAAACTCCCCCCCCCATTTCAAATACTTAAAAATTAAACTGGAATTCTGTTTTTATCTACTTTTATTTAATTGCTAGATTTTAGCTATGAACACATTTAAGTTTTAGCACACATATCCCTCACAAAAAAAAATAAAAGTAAAATATAGATTATAATATTGATAAACTAAAAAATGCATCAAATTGTATTCAATAACGACATGTTTATTAATAAAAACTGAACAGATCGAAACATATAGTGGGATGAAAATAAAATAGCACGCAGAGTAATCATTTTAGTATCAGTTTATAATCAATTGGTGTGTTGACGGCCCATGATTTATGAGTTCTACCCGAAAATTTTTCCTTCCGAAACTTTACGCACTACATTAGTGTAAAATGTTCCGACGTATCGGCTAAATATTACACACCTGTCTTGGGGTAGAAATGTTGAGACCGGCAGATAAATATTTTATACACGAAACGGTGCGTGTCTCAAATCCATACTTACCACTTTTATCCTGAAAATGGCAACAGAAAACAGACGAAAAAACGCTGGGTCTTATCAGCAAAATGAAGGCCTATAAACATTTGTTTGAGAGCTCTGGTTATTTTCTCGGCAACCGTGACCGCCTGATTTTACATAGGCTTAAGCCGGGCCCGCACAAATTCCGGGCGTCAGGTCGCCATGAAGCCTAGAATTTTTATCGTGGCGCTCAGAAATTTCTTTTTAGCGTTCCCTCCTAGTTTTCCTCCACCCCTTTACTGTATTCATCTCCTCCCTCCATTATTGCTTTCCAATCACCGTTTGTCCGTCCTACAGACATCCATCTTCCGCAGCCTCCTCTCTTTCACGTTAAAACAATTTCCTCACAGCGACCCTTTCAGTCTTCTATCCCTTTCCTACGTCATAGTCCTTCCAAGCTTCCTCCCATATATTTCCCCGTCCCTTTTGTTTGTACCTCCTATTGCCTTACCCACCCTCATATCCTAATAATGTCAGAAGATGGTTTACATTTTTCCCGTATGTCTGCAACGGCGCATTGGTCTTCCCTCTACCCTGACGTAATTGACAGTCATAGTGTATATGTAGATGTTCGCCTCTGTGGTCTAGTGGTCAGAGTTCGATTCCCGGCGCTACCAGATTCTCTGAGAAGTAGTGGGTCTGGAACGGGGTTCACTCAGCCTCGTGAGGATAATTAAGGAGCAGTTTCAAGGAAATAGTGGCTCCGGTCTAGAAAACCGAAATTAACGATCGTGGGGATTGGTAGAGCTGACCACATGACGCCCTCTCTCCACTAAAGTTGGCACTAACTTCGCCGACAAGCTGCTGTCTCTCAGTCGGTATAGTTCGCTTGCGGACTAAAACGACGGAGTTTGATTTTTTTTTTTTATATGTAGATGTTTCGTTTTTCCATTTGTTAATAAAATAAGCAGATTTTGTGCCCGAAATATTGCTTTTATTTTGGTTCTTGGTTTTATGGTATGGTTCCTAGCTTTATAGTAAATCTGTGTAGGTCTGGACTTAGGCACACAACAATGGCAACGACCTCTATCCTGCACCGGGCGAATCCAGTCTACACATTTCATGCCCTGTTTCTTCAACATCCATTTCAATATATGGGCCTAGTCTGGGTCTCATAACTGGTCTCTTCACGTTTTAAAACTCATACATGTATTGTTATCCAAACATGCTACATGCTTCGCCCATCTCGTTCTCCTGAATTGATACCCCAAATAATTATTGAAATATTTAAGATGAAACTGTCCCTGTGCTGAATTACGCATTATGCTGTGAAGACGAATGCGGAAATTATTAATGCTACACTCATTCTTATCCTCGGCATTAGTTGAAAGAGAGTCAGTTTCACGCCCCGACCGCTTCATCCCCGGTGTAAAAACCCCGTTAGACATTGGACAGAAGGCTGGGTGGGCCCCAAAGCCAGTCAGGACAGTGGAAAACAAACCTCTTACCCATGTTGGAAATCGAACCCCGATCCCTCAGCCGTCTAACCCGTAGCCTAGTTGCTGTACCGACTGAGCTATCGTACATCCTGTGAAATGTTTACTCTACAAATATAAAAACTGCATCTTCTCATAATTGTAAACACATGCTACCTGTACTTCCTTTAAAAACATGTTATCCTGTACTGTTAGTATAATCGCCTGCATCTTCACACCCCAACTGGTATTTGTGATAGTTTCATTAGTGTCTAGGACGCTTGTCAACGTCCGGCTAGAATTTAAGCTCTTGACACTAAATCCCGGTGTTTACTCGAACTGCAGTACACTATTTCATACATAGAGATATTGGGTTTTCGGACTTATCCATCGTCCTGGTTTTAAGATAACTAAGAAAAACACGACGTTTCGGAAACTGGATCTGTTTCCGTCTTCAGGTGAAGGAAAACACCTATTCTGTTGGGTCCCTTAGAAAGAGCTAGCCTCAATCACTGGACAGCCGATGTCCCAAAACACAAAGATTATAAACACTTGAGACCAGGCTAAGTCCATGAGAGCTAAAAGTCCGAAAACCCAATATATCTCTGTGTTATACACCATCGTCAGAAGCCTATAAGTAACTACTATTTCATACATTTTATTTTGTGACATACCTTCACATACAAAATTCTCTTAGATTTCCCAGTCCTTTGGTGAAGAGCTTGAGACATCACCTACATTTCACCTGTTGAATTGCACCATCACGCTAACTCCACAGACATGCCTAGTTACACATAGTTTAGACCTGTAAAACACTTTATCAGCACTGGAAACTTAAAGAGTTTCTTTCCGAAGACTAAACCGATCACCATCTTCCTCCCAAGCTGAAACCGTCACTGTACTGTTGGCCGACAGAGGTCAGCCTTGTTGCGTGTGTTGGTGGAGCGGTAGGCAGAAAACGGAGGTAATTATTCTTTTTTTTTATTATTATTATTTCCTTCGTTGGAGCAGTAGGCACGAATCAACAGAGAGGCGGTAGGTGCGTTGGTAACAGCGCAGGTGAAGTAGCAACATGTATGCAGCAGGAACCGTGTGTTTGAAGGTTAAAGTCAGGGCTGGCCACAGTAACTTCGAGCGTACACGGTACTAACCAAACTAATATAAACAAATAATGTTCCACTTTAGAATACGCAATAGAAACACAGCTTGGCACGAGAAACGTCCCTCTCTGTCACACACACACAAACTGGGAAACCGTGTGTGCGCAACTTCTAGAAATAGAGCTAACAGAATTTCTCTTGGAAGCCCAAGTCTCAAGGACCCCCTCCCCTCCTTGTGACGGTTTCTCCTCTGTTCACAGCTTACAGACAGCACCAACTCCTCAAAAGAATAAAATAATTCTTAGGTAGAAGCCGGCATTCAAAATCCTCAAAGCACGCGCCAAAGGCCGGTGTTAACAAATACGGGGAGGTGATGGTACGGTGCATCCGTACCACATTTCCTTCACTGGTGTTCGAGAACAGGGTGCTGAGGAGAATATTTGGACCGAAGAGAGATGAAGTGACAGGAGGTTGGGCAAAACTGCAAAATGAGGAGCTTCGTAACTTGTACTCTTCTCCAAGTAAAATTAGAATGTTCAAGTCAAGGAGGATGAGGTGGGCAGGACATGTAGCACAAATGGAGAAGAGGAATGCGTATAGGATATTGGTGGGAATGCCAGAAGAAAAGAGACCAGTAGGAAGAGTAAGGCGTAAATTGGTGGACAATATTAAAATGGATCTTAGAGAGATAGGATGGGAAGGTATGAATTGGATTGATCTGGCTCAGGATAGGGACCAGTGGAATGCTCTTGTGAACACGGTAATGAACCTTCAGGTTCCATAAAATGCTGGAAAATTCTTGAGTAGCTGCAGAATTGGCGGCTCCTCAAGAAGGGCTCAGCTCCATAAGTATATAAGTAAGTAATTTCTGCACTGACGGCCGACGACTTCACAACAACCTTCTTGCAAGCACTCCACTTCAAATCGAATAGAAGTTTCGGACACTTTACATAAACATGTAGATTTTAAAGGGTTCTAACGATGGCGATCCCTGAATTACTGGGATTTGGGCTTTGTCCATCATCCGGTATTCTAGAAACTAGAGAACGGCGTTTCGGAAACTGGACCTGTTTCCTTCCTCACATGAGGGAGCAAGCACCTACACTATTGGGACCCAACAGAGTATTCGTAGGTGTCTCCCTCCTCATGTGAGGACGGAAACAGATCCAGTATCCGAAACGCTGTAATCTGTAGTTCCTAGAATACCGGACGATGGACAAAGTCCAAAATCCAAGTAATTCTGGCTTTATATGAAAATCTGAAATTTTTTCTATGCTCGAAGCGTAAGTCAGTAAACGTACATCGCGGTGTGAATATTTGGAACAAATACTGTAGAGAACAGCAAGACATGTCGTGTCCAACCCACGTTTCCCATACATTTTGCAGTTTGCGAGACAATGAAAGTGAGCGAAAAACCTAGAATTGTCACGCTATGCGTACATTTCAGAGGAAGCCGGGATAGCTCAGCCTGTATAGCGACGAGCTACGGGCTGGACGACAGAGGGGTCGGAGTTCGAGCTCCAGTAGGATAACAAATTTTCTGTTCTTTAATTAGTCCAGGCTGGCTCTGGGGTTCACCCAACCTCCTATAAAATGGGTACCGGAGGCTCTTTCTGCGGGGGTAAAGCGGCCGGGGCGTGAAGCTGACCACTCATCTCCAGCTAGTGCCGAGGTCAAGAAAATATGGCTCTATACATCCACTCCCCCATGCGCCTTCATGGCGTAGTGCTTAATTAGTTAAGCACAGGGCCAGCTTTACCTTTATGCCTACATTTCGGAACTTGTATGATTAGTATCCGACAGCAATTTTCCGAACACGCGAAGATTACCCAAATCTCTTACTCGTGTCCTATACAGAAGTGCAAAGATATTACAAGTTAAGCAAGTCTATTTGTATTCGTGAGTTTGCCTTTAGAATCTCAGCTGGGAAAATAAATTTCCTGCGATTTTTCGTGGTTTTATTCAGAACCTCAAGGCAAGATCCCTGGTAGTACATTAAATTGGTCACGACCGCTTTATTTCACGCTCCATGCAACTCATTCACAGTTATTCGAAGCCATAGAGTCTGAGGTACTGTCAGTATCATTAAATAAGCAACTTCACGCCGTTTGTAACACTCACCCATTGAGCTGAGCCCTTCTTGAGAAGCCGCCATTTGTGAACTTACTCAAGAACTTGGCCACTCCATAGCTCAAGCGGTGAGTCGCTGGCTTCCCACCGCGGCGGTCCCGGTTCGATCCCGAGGTCTGGTCACGTGAGATTTGTGGTGGACAAAGTGGCGCTGAGGCGGGTTTTCTCCAAGTACTTCGATTTCCCCTGTCAATCTTCATTCCACCAAATTCTCCATCATCATAATCACCCGGGGCAGGCTACAATAGGCCAATCAGTGGACCCAGTTGGACTCCACTCCCCACTAAGCGAATTAAAAAAAATAATTACTCAAGAACTTCCCAGCATTTTATGGAACCCGAAGGTTCATTACCGTGTTCACAAGAGCCCTCCACTGGTCTCTATCCTGAGCCAGATCAATCAAATCCATACCATCATATCCTATCTCTCTTAGCTGTTTGTAACAGATAGTCCAAAGTTACCAATCGCAAATCGGGATCTGATGGCCTAATTGGTACGCGTACATTTCGTACCATGTTAGTGTTATGATATGAAAGGAAATGTTATTACGCCAACCTGAGTATCCGACCGTAGTCACCTGCATGCTGAGATTCTATTGGCCGTGCTCCCCTGTTGGCCTTTCATGCGAACAACGAATTTTAACCGCAGTTCTGGACATGGTATTCACTGGGTAAATGCCATTACGAACAATTCATGTTCATTGTTTAAATTGCTACTGAAAATGTGACCTTTAACACGCTCAATTCACTGTCTGGTGCCAGATTCACTTGACCCTAATTCTGGTCCTTGAGAAGACATATCAGATCTCATAAACTGTGTACATCCTCATACAAACACGTCTCTAATTCTCAGCCCGAACACTGGCTATCCCGAATGAGGCTATTCGTGGGTCTCTTCAGTCCCTACTAGGACAGCACTAAGATAGTACAGTAAGCCCTCATTAATTAAGATTAATTGGGAGCAAAACCTTGTCCAAATTAGTGAAAACCCAAATTACAGAAGTGCTACTGAAAATATGTTAAGAGAAGTTATAAAATTTACTTCACTTGTCTTTTTAGGCAATACAACTTTGTCGGAACTTAAATTGCATTTCATAAAATAAATATACTTATCATAAAATGTGAAAAAAAAAACGTGAATTTTGACGTCAGACATAAAAACATTTGAGGTAGCGGCAATGTGATCATGAAGGTCGGATTGCGCAAAAAAAATAGTTTTCCGAATTATCGAGAATTTCGAATCAGTGAGGTTTCACTGTACTTCAAATTATGTTACGATCTCTTCGTTACGAATTATTTCCAATTCATCCTTCACTGAACATTCTACCACTCGACGCTGTGTTGTCTGAGCTGCTAACAACGTGATATGTGTCTGAATGTTTTGTGTTTAACTTTATCAGGTCTCCTTCTCCCACCATCTTTCTCGCCTGTCGTCTTCCCATCTAATTCTGTGATACGTTGAGTGCTGAGAAAGGGACGTTTAGTTTAGCGCATCCCTCTGACAAAGGGAGCGGGGGGGCGTGTTGCAAATTCCGGTAACATTACACGTATATAAAAGGAATAAAAAGAACTCCGTGGCTTGTAGTCCGCCAGCGAACTAGCTTACTTAAATTATAACTCTACTTAAAACGACTGCTATGACGTCTGCATCAGTCAGCTATATCTCGCAATAATTTGCTCCAGATTTTGTATTTATTTCACTCCACGTGTTCGATCCGGGTTTTACAGAAATCTTAAGCGATATGAGGAACAATTTTCCAACTTAAGGTCCACTAATTATGAGCCGGGATAGCGCAGTCGGTATAGCGACTGGCTACGGGCTGGACGACCAAGGGGTCGGAGTTCGAGTCATGGTAGGGTAAAGAATTTTCTCTTCTCCACGTCGTCCAGATCGGCTTTGGGGTCCACCCAAGCTGCTATATAATTGGTACGGGGGGCTCTTTCACCGTGAATAAAGCGGCCGGGGCGTGAAGCTGACAACTCACCTCCAACTATTGCCAACGTCAAGACAGTGTGGATCTGTAATTACGAATAAAATACAAGGTATAAAATACAATGAATTATAGACTTATTATAAAACGAAAGTTATGGAGTAAAACATGGTTAAAAACTGTTCATGTCATATTGCATATCATGAAGTCAGTTTCTGCAATGTCCGAAGATTGCAACAACTGACTTCATGAAATGCAATATTACATGAAGAGTTTTTAACCACATTTTACTCCATAACTTTCGTTTCATAATTATGAAACGAAAGTTATGGAGTAAAATGTGGTTAAAAACTTATTATAATAAGTCTATAATTCGTTGTATTTTTATACCCTGTATTTTGTAATGTAACAGTTATGAAGTTTCCAGCTTTACTATCACAATGAAACTGCAGTTCAATAGTTTGTGAAAATAGTAATCATGTGTTTTGCCTGATGATGGATTTAAATACCGAAACATATAGCTAAGGTAATATTAACCTTGACCATATGTTGTTGTGTTACGACGGACTCCAATAAAGAATTGTTACTAGATTCTATTTGCAACATGGTTTCGGTATTCGTACGCCGGTGGAAATTCAATCTTCTTCCGTAAAGTTGCCTACACAAGGTATGACTTAACCTAGTTCGTAGAGTGAATAGACATTAAGCTTACATGGCGTGAAGAAAAGACGAATTGAACTATAGGCTTCAACTGTGAGATATCAATTTTTAGACAGGGAAGTTATATCCTTGGATTGACTGTTCCCCTCTGGAAATAAGTCAGTTTTCCTATCATTACAGGCGATTCAAAGAAGGAAAAAAAGGTGAAGCTGCCCCTGTGCTTAACCAATTAAGCACTATGCCATGAAGGCGAATGGGGGGAGTGGATGTATAGATCTACATTTTCTTGACCTCGGCACTAGTTGGAGGTGAGTGGTCAGTTTCACGCCCCGACCGCTTTACTTCAGGGAAAGAGCCCACGGTACACATTGGATAGGAGGTTGTGTGGACCACAGAGCCGATCTGGACAATTGGAGAAGTTGAAATTCT